CAATTTAAGCATGTTATGAATTGCAACCGGTGGATGCTCAAGTTAATTTGTGGCATAAAGCCAAATACAAATAGGAGGATTAGTTTTTATTTTTGAAATTCAAAGTCATTTCTTTTTTGTTTAATGAAACACTTTATCTATTTCATGGTCTCAAACTATATATATACTAAAATATTTTGTAATCTTGTGATCTTAAACATGTTATGTAAAAATTAAATTTAAAAATTGATAAAATTAAAAAAAAAACATTCTTTAATATTTTAAAACAAACTAAAACAAAGACAAAATATAATTTATTTTTTATTAAAAAATACTTATAGGTATCGAGACGCCCCTGATTGCAACAGAAATATATATAACTTATAAATTGTGAAGATAAATGTGATTTATATATTTTAGTTTCAATATACATACTTATAAAATCACTGTTAATATAAATTATATAACGTATATCAATTATTCAATAATAGATTCTAAAGATTAATAAATAATATGTTTTAAAACACGTTTCAAACTTCAAATTGTATATTTTCAAGTTTAAAGTTTTGAAATATTAAGCTAATCGAGTTATCACCGATAATTTTAAAATAATCTTTTTGGAACCAAATATTTTGTAAGTAACACAAATAATAAATATGCATATGGGTGTTATGGACGAAAATTTAGAAATAGATGGATGAAATTGCAACTTCCTTAAAAGTTTGAGGGTTAATATAACTTTCAAACAAGAAGTAAAACCCTAGCAGCAAGAACTGAGCTCACTGTACTGCCAGTGAAGTTCATCTCCGACGATCTCATCTCCGGCGACTTCTCTATCGCGCCGATCTCATCTCCAGCGACTTCGAAAACGCGCCGATCTCTGTTGAAGGTATTCGGTTTATCTTTCTTTATCTCATTGTATAGTAGTTTCACAATCCTCAGCTCTCCGTTTTTATCTGCTACGTTTCTTAGTTTTCTGGTGTAGAAGCAATGCACAGGTAAGGAAAATTCTCATGCAAATGCAAATACTTCGGTTTTGAGTTACTAAAATTGATAGGAAAAGGAAAACTGAAATAGTTTAATTAGCAATGATATGAAGTTACTGACAGCTGAAATTTATGTTCATCTTGTTGTATTTGGTAGTTAACAATTTTTACATCCATTCAGTAAGTGGCTGAGCTAGTATCTTCATTGAGTGGTTCAAAATATGGAAAGTAAACTCAGAGAGAAGTCAAAGTAGGTTCAACATCAACCATATATACATAAAAGTAATTTTAATCATGTATAAACAACGTAATTTTCAGCCAAATGATTCGGATGAACCTCATTGGCCCTACTTGGCTCCACCCCTGCGTTCCGTCTTGGTGATGATACCTTTGCAACCAAAATTTTGGAAATGATATGTCTAAAAAAGGTGTCTTTTGAAAGCACGTGACTTTTCATGAAAGGATGGTTAGTTGACAAGTGTTTTCGATACATAATGCAAATCGTAAGATTAATCCTATATTCATGTCATTCAGAAATTGTGGAGTCTCGGGCAAATCTTTGGAAGTACATCCTAAGTTAACCAAAAGCAAGAGCAAGTAATAATTTGAGCCTTTCCATGTAATAATTTGTCAATTCATCCCATTGGTTCATGCAAACCACAAAACTTCAGTCACTTCTTAGCGGAGGGTAAATGTAGTTTGGTATGGTTAATTACTGCTCATTACAGTAACTCTAAAATGTGAATTGAAATCTTATGACTTTTCCTTTGAACATGAGATCAGTTATCAAATACAGAAATTCAGATTTTGTGGCTATCAAACCCATCTTGGTTTTCATTGAAGATACTACATTTAATGTTCATTTCTTATCCTTAAAACATTATAAATTCATGCGAACTTATTCTTGTTCTTGTTTTGCTCTTGTTCTTTTTTTTTGGGTGGGTGGGTTTGAGTGCTTAGCTATTCATCTTTCTCAGATAGGTAGCCAGTGGTTCTTGGGTTAGTTTGCTTCATGGAAAATTAAGTTAGGTAATGTTCCAATGTCTAAAAAAAGAGGTTAGAATTGTGTTTTTGCGGATCCTTATTGGGAGTTGATATTTTTCCTTGTTTATATGTGTTTTGTCACATTCCCATTTATGCGTCTGTTTTACTCTTTCTGTCTCAAGTCTCAGGTGTGTCTCAAGGATAATTCGAACAAACATATTGAGAATTTCCTTTGTGTTGCTTATCAGAAGAACAAAATGTCCTTTGTTTACTTTTGTGTTATCAGAAGAACAAAGTGTTCTTTGTTTTCTTTTGCGTTATCAGAAGAACATAGCATCCTGTACTCTCAAAATATTTTTTCCTTCTCTTTCAATAAGTTTTAGAGCACTGGACTTGTATACCATGGGGTACCCTGAACTTTAAAAGAATATTACTATCTAAAAACTGTTTCCAACTTCAGTGCTACTAAGAAAATTTCTCAATGTGTTACAACATTTTGGAGTATGATTCCTTCAATGAGGGAACTTCTTGGTTGAGTTGGCTTTGATTACCTGCAGTGTGCATTTTGTCGTAGTTTTTCATTTTCCAAGATTTGACGTAATTCAGTTCTGTGATTCCTGAAGTTGGTTGAATCAAGAGAAGACAAAAGATGCCTCTATATGACTGTATGCTGTTACTGAAACCCCATGTAAAGAAGGAGGCTATGATGGACCTCATTGCAAAGGTTGGGAAGCATGTCTATCGAAAAAATGGGGTCCTTACAGATTTAAAGTCATTTGGAACTGTTCAACTGGGTTATGGCATTAAGAAACTAGATGGAAGATACTATCAGGTGTGTTTCTCTTGATATCCTTTCACTTTCAGTAATCTTATAATTTTTTTAGAAAGGTAACTTGTATTATAGACAAGAATACACAAGGAGTATTCTAGTAATACTTACATCCAAAAGTTTCAAAAGAAAGAATCTCCTATGTAGGTCATAAGAATTCTAAAATACTAGGAATATCCTATGCATCTTGAGGATTGTAAAAAAGATTTAAAATTAGATATAATCAATTCAAAGAAACCACCACAGAAGTATAGTCTGTTGGGAATGCATTTGTCAAGGACTGTAGGTAAATCCTTAAAGTATTCGTAGAACATTTTAAATATGATTGTCACCTGACCTTTAGCCCTTAAATTTTTCACTTTTATGTCTGGCATTTTAAGAATTAATCTCTTTAACTGCTGTTAGAGAGTTGTTTAGCTCCACTCATATTTTTTCCTGTACTGCTTTCCAATATCTTGGTGCATGACAAATTAAACTCTAAATTCGTTTAGGCACTGTTGCGATGACCACACCTCTGTATTCCTTTTCTGTATATTTGCAAAGCAGTAAAAAAAGTAAAAAAGAAGTCTGCCAAACTTAAGTAGAAGTGTTCTGTCGGTATTAGATTATTGTTACTAACTTTTAAGGATATTGCATCTTTCTTAGGGTCAACTGATGCAAATGACAGTGATGACACCACCCAGCTTAAACAATGAGCTGCATTACCTGAACAAAGAAGACCGCTTGCTCCGTTGGCTTTTGGTTAAGCATCGAGACATCAAATTTGGATTTGACTTGTTGGGTGAAGATGATGATGGCAAGGCTGAACTAAGCAAGTTCAGGAGAAACATTAATGAGGAAGAAGAAGAAGAAGAAGATGATGAGGACGATGACGATGACGAGTATGATACCAATGAAGCCGAGACAAACAAAGTCTAGAAAGCTGATGAATTTCACTCTGTGCTCACACCCTTTTTTCTCAATTTGATCAGCTGTCATAGACTCGTCGTACCATCTCAATGAACATGATATTGTTCGTCAAAAGCTACGTGGAGTCTTGTGGCCAACGATTTTGTAGTGCATGCCTTTTGTTGCCTAAAAATCTAGTTATGCAGAATAATTTATTTTAGAATAATCCAGTTTGCAAACAAATTAGTTAAGTTCATTGTATGATTTCAAAGCTCAGTAGTGAATTGATCCATTTTTGGTGGATACTGGAATGTGTTTACACCAAATAAGTGAATATATGTCACCCTGTTTATTACACTTTTTATGTCCTGTTTTATTGTGTTATAAAATCAAATTTTGTTTATCAACCCAGGGTTGGTGAAGGTCGTTGATCATGCCAATTGAAAAGTTAAAAGTCACACGTTCGAGCCGTGGAAGCAATCACTTTACAATTATAGATTGTCTGTATCACACCCATTCGGGTCCCTTCATTATAGATTGTCTGTATCACACCCATTCGGGTTCCTTCATTATAGATTGTCTGTATCACACCCATTCGGGTCCCTTCATCATTAAACAAAAGTCTCATATAGCCTAATGATCGAATAAGTAGATGAAACTCATGAGAAATATAACATACAATTTTAGTTAATTTATTTTAAAATTTCATATATTTAAGTTTTGATGAATAAAATTATTTATACAAATGAGTTAAACAATTTCCCTTCACAAAATAATGATTAGGTTTGTATACACTCTATTCTTCTAAACTCCATTTAATGGAATTTCATTGTGTATGATATTGTTGTAAATGAGTTAGACTCATATAAAACAACATAATTAAATCACAATCTCTTAAATTTGCAATTAAAATTTATATGGATGTTTGAACAGTTGTTTACTTCAATTGAACATTTGAACACGTGATAAAATGTTCCTATTAGACAGTTATAATTCAAAATTTATAAAAAATTCGTACATTCTCAAACATTTATTAACCAGTTATGTTAACTATATATTAAACAAATTAACAGAGACCAAAACATGGATAGATTTTATGGTTTAGTGATGTAACGTCTCATGTTTAAATTTCAATAGATACAAAATGACTAACTGATTCGTTTCATTGGTCATATCTTTTGTGAAAAGAGATATAGTCTCAATGACTCATACGATATAACACATAAAGTATGTGAATTCAGATAAACCTAATTTTTTACCTGAAATTTAAATAAAATTCATTTAGATATTCGATCGGAAGTTATAATTCGAGTGTCTAAACGAAATTTTGAGTTTAGATATATAATTACATAATTATTACACAACTTAGCATTTTGCATTTCCTCCTTCACACACACAAATGCTACTTTGCTTCGAGGGTTTCGAGCTTCTGTAAATTTCTCCATTTCTCCGATCTCTCAATCGGAATTCAAATTCCTAGAATTTGTTTTCCGTCAATACAATCTCATCTCCGATTTCATAAATCTAGAAGGATCTAGAACGAAATACTCAATTTGGAAAATCGTTTTGCATTTTCTTCGAAAATAATAATCAGAAATTGATTACTTTAAGCGACGTTCTGGTGATGTGAAAGCCCGTATTTTTGGTTTGTTTGATGATAAGGAAAGTTCTGGAAGATTTGAGGATTTGGATTTGGATTGATTTCGTTGCATAGAGAGTTGAAGAGGGTAAAAAGAATGGATGTGGATTTAATTGGTGATTTAGCGAGGCTTGATGCTGAACTGTTGCAGCTTCCTGATGTTTCGTCGTTTGCTATCAAGGATAACCCTTTTGTTGCCCAGAAGCTGTTTGATCAATGGCTATCGCTCCCGGACACGGCACCTTTGGTAGTTCTACAGTGCCTATTTTGCTAATCATTTGTTTATTTTATGGTGTATTAGGAATTAGATTTTGGTAGTATCTTGAGCTTACCAAGGACATGACCTTAGGTAGGACTCGGGAGAGTTTGGATGTTGTGGAATAAGGTAGAAGGTTAGTTGGTAGTTGAGTCTAGCTTCCCTGCGAAATATGTGTGGTGGTCATACTTGGACCTTCCTTCTTACCAGTAGTGTTAGCACTATTTACGTAGTTCCACCGTGCTTAATTTTGCTGATATTTTTGTTTTGTTGTGTTTTTTGATGCATTAGTAATTACATTCATGTTAAGTAACATTGTAGCCAAAATGACAAAGTTGGAATGCACCTTGGTGTGGACTGCTGGTCTTTAAAGTGGGTTGAACACCATGAGGTCCACTAGAAGTAGAATAAAAACACTAGGTGATATCTTTCTATTCCTAGTAGCGTTAGTGCACAGAGTTACTGGTACCTGGTGGTGGGAGCTGGCTGGGTATTAGTCGAGGTGTGCACAAGCTGTCCTGGATACCACTGTTTTTAATAAAAGAAAGAAGAAAGACAAGTTGGAAAAGAAGTGAAAGGGAAATTGAAATTTTTGTGGTTGGTATAATTGATAATTCCCTTGTGAATTAGCTACTCTACCCCCAATTGGCTCATAGATTCAAACTGGTTGGATTGCCATCTCGATTCCCGCCAGCCCGCAACCCTTTACCCTAGTCATGCTGAAGTACCAGGAAGACAAGGCATTTTTTGTTTTTTTCCAAGAATATTGTTAAGTGTAGTTACAAGCTGTACTTTCAAGTTAGTGCATTATTGCATCATAATGTGCTCCTATATGATCTGTCTTGTATCTCACAGAAGTGATTTTAACTACTATAATATGTTGACTTCATGAGAATGTAAGTATATTATGTTGATTGTTGAGTGAAGTATCATGTTTAGTGAATGTACTGTCAAGTCCTCTATGGTGAGGAATGATTAGAAGGCACCACGATTAACCATTTTTGTGTGGAGCGTAGAAGAAAGATTTCAACTGTCTGTTGCAATTCAGTGCTCTTTCTCTGATTTCTTTTTCTACTTTTGTTATGATAGTATATTCTTTGGATCTCCGGGATCAATTGTTTTTCTTTTTTTTGAGTGTACTCTTGTTTTTTACCAACAAAAATCCAACATTGCTCAGAGTTTGAATAATAATATGCATATAAGACTACAACTTGTTTTCAGTCGCTGATAATGGAATCACCATGTTCGTGGAACTACCGTCTCTGAGAAGCTTTCCTAGGATGATGGAGATGTGATGGTGCTCTGGTTAAATGGAAAATCTTCGTAAATTTTGTATTGTTGGTGATGAACAACTGTGATAGTAATGCTTGAGGATGTTCAGCATTGTATTGTATTTTTGGTGCTTTGGATGTTCACACGTGTTTGAGCTTTTAAGAATGAACATTGAACCTGGTGGGCTTTTGAACATCCATGTGAATTTTTCTCAGTACTGGGGCCTATGATGCTTTGTGCTGTCTACCTTGCATTATTTCAAATAGAAGCGATATGTGCATCTTCCCTCCGTTTCTTTAAAATATAGGTGTTGATCTTAGGTTGATTGGCAAATTGAAATTAATCTTTTTCACTACACGCAGGTGAAAAATTTGCTTAATAATGCTAAAGCTGGTGGACCCTTGAGCGCGACTGGAGCTTCTTCCAGCACAAATGTAGCGACAAGCAGTTCTTTGCCGTCTATGTTTCCGGCTGGAAGTACCCCTCCGCTTTCCCCAAGAAGTTCATCTGGTTCGCCGCGGACAACGAGACCCAGGGCAGGCCCCTCTATGTTAGGATCCCCTTTGAAATTAGTGAACGAGCCTGTTAAGGAGCTAATACCACAGGTATGGAAATGTTGCATAACTAATTTAGTGTGATGCCTCCTTCTTTTTTTTTTGCACAGACATATTGTGAAGATTTCTGCTTTTTTTTATCAAATGCATATGATGATAGCAGTTCTATTTTCAAAATGGCCGTCCACCTACAAATGAATTGAAGGAACGCTGCTTGTTTAGAATAAACCAGTTTTTCTACGGTCACACGGATGGACTACAAATGGATGGTAAGGTTTCCCCTTGTTTCTTGGGGCGGGGCGGGTAATAATCCAAATATAAGCATAATACTAAGCTGGATCACACATTTTTTTTATTAGAAAAAGTGTCTTGATACTTAAAGAGTAGTTTATCATTATTTATCCATGCTCTATGAGCAGTTGCTCCACATGATGCGACTTATTATTAATTTATTATTTATGTGTGCATTTTGACATTCTATTCCTTGGTTGTCAGAATTCAAACCAATTACTAAGGAAATATGCAAGTTGCCATCGTTCTTCTCCACTGTTCTTTTTAGGAAGATTGATGTTGGTCAAACAGGCATCATAACAAGGTAATTGTCATCTTTCTTCTGAATTCTTGAGATGATCTGTTAACTTTTTTGGGTATTTCCTAGAATGTCATCTGCACCTTCAGAAAGTGGAAATGAAAATATGGTATGAAGGCCATCCTTCTTCCTTTCACATCTTTCTATGTCTCTTCGTCCTCTTCTAACATGTTTCTATGATATATAAGAATCCATTTTCTTGAACAGATATCCTTCTATATGTTTTTGAAGTTCGATTGATGTTCTAGTACTGTAGTAGCTCCCTTCAGAAGTTCAAGTTTATCTTGTAGTTACTCTCTGCAGTAATAGTTGATTTATCTTTAAATTCTAACTTCTTTCCTGACTGTTGTGGTTTGTCCGTGCAGAGGTTTTAAGACATGATTTAATTGATTTTGTGTAGGCGAAAAATTATTTGATTGGAGTTTTTTCCTTAAACATATGAAGTGTATTATCTTTTTTTTGGAGGTTCTAAAGTTAGTCAGATCTGTTGCATTGTGACAGAACATAGTTATTATGGATTGTTTGCTTTAGCAGCCTCAGTTTTAGTTTGAGATGGGTGTGATGCATATTCATCCTCCTTTATATTCTAAAAATTGAATAGACGAGAAAACCAAAGAAAAAGGAATTAGTGTGGTACATAAAAACAATATAAAACAGTTTGATCATACAATAAAATAATATTATCCTAAGATTTTCTCTTAAATAGTATTGCATTTTGGTAATTGTTATCCCACTTAAGTGACTGGTGCCTTAATGGACATGTTCACTTTTTTTTAACCTTCCAACATTCCTTTCACATCTTGGAATTTTATTTGACTAGATGGGAAATGCTGTATTCTGGAGAGTTCTTTCTTTTAACTGAAGTACACCTTGTGAACTTATGTTCGTGGTGTAAAAAATCTGTTTTAGGAACTGATGATCTTTACCAGTTGTTCCTTCAATAGTTCAAGTTAAAGAGCTTCTTTTGGTCTGTATCTGGAACTCTTTCCCCTGTGAACTTATATCACATCTGTACCTTTGAAAAAATATTCTTACACCTCTCCTGTGTTTATTTAAAACTACTAACACTAGAGAAAGACCAACTCAGAAGTGATACCTGATATAGGGTACTAGTAATGCTGATGCATAGTATACCTGAGCATTTAGTGCTAATTTTTTCTAGTAATGTCTGAAACTACTTGAAAGAGAATTTGCTGATGCTATTTGCTTAACATGGCTGTAGGGATGTCTTTGTTGATTACTGGGTCAATGGAAACATGTTGACAAAAGATATAGCAACCCAAATTTACACAATCTTGAAGCAGCCAGATCTCAAACACCTGATACAGGTGCACTCTCTAGTTTGTTTTTTATTTGTTTGAGCGGCTCATCACATTATTTTGTAGTTTCTCACTCATCCTATCTCAAAAGAGCTAAAATTTTGTCTGATTATTCATGATTATAAAGAGGCAACTTCTCTATAACAGAAAGGTTGTGGTTTTGTGTTTTTCCTTCCGTTAATTGAAACTTCAAGCAATTTGATTGTAGGATGATTTCAAGCCTGTTCTTCGAGATCTTTTGGCAACACATCCTGGTTTAGAGTTCTTACGGAACACTCCCGAATTTCAAGAGCGATATGGTACCCTTCTCAATATTACATAGCATTAATTGCTAATGCATGCAGAACTCTCTGTGTCCTTGAAATCGTCATTGTTTTTTGTGATGTATATAACCGTTGTCCTAAGTAAGCTCTTCTGTTAGACTTCCCTATTAATTTCTATCTTGAGATGTTACATTTAACCATAGCAAAAAACTAGAAGTGCTGTGGGTCCTAGTTAGGTATGGTGGTTGTTGCTATAAATTTTTCAGTGAGGTGGGAGTGTCTGGGATGAACTGGACAGGTATCATATGTTGAACCACGTGTGCTGTATTACTCATCTCCCTGTCCTGTGGTTGAGAAGAAAGGCAATAAAGATTTAAGGGTTCCTAGTTGTGATATCTCACTTGGAGTAATTACCTTTTCTGGGCTTTTGGTATGTCAAGCATGAGAACTCTAATTCCCTGCATTTCTCATCTAACAAAGACTTGAAATTTCCTTAAGTTGCTCTCTATAAAGGAGTCCCATTCAAACTAATTTAGGTAACTGCTAACCTTTTACCCTATTGGGACTTAGGGACGTAGTAGTAGATAGTCTGTTTTTTACAGGTGGACTAATACATCTTATTTAAATACTTGTTTGTGCACAGAGGGGTTTCAAACTACTAAACTCTATTGTAACAGTTAATTTTCTTGCATTGGCCAGCTGAAACTGTAATATACAGAATATTTTTCTACGTGAATAGATTGGGTGATGGTCATCTTACCCTCAGGGAGCTGAAGCGTTCTGACCTAATTGCTGCAATGCAACATGCAGATGAAGAAGAAGATATTAACAAGGTCCTTAGGTAAATACATTTGCAGCAGTATCGACTTAAGGCAGACATGGAAAAATATACAAACTGCTTTTTGGGAAATTTTGGAGATCCACGTCTTTTACTTCACTTGATGCCATTTGTTCTTGTTTCATCGCCATCAAAATGTCTAATGTCGTGTGTTTTGAATACAAGCATGTTTATGTGGCAAGTGGTGGTGGTAGGAAATTGTCTCTTTTTTTACTAGTCAAAGAAAGAAGAGAGGAGAAAAGGTGCAGTATATATCACTGATTAGCAAAATCCTTTTTGGGAGCTTGACATTACTAAAGCACATCACAATGTTTTGCAGATCACTTTGAAAACTCTGGGTTCTCACATTCTTTACCTTTTAGAGTTTGTTCTGCTGACTTTTGCTTGACATATTCTTACTGATAACTTTGGGCAAGTTCTTGTTACTTCTTCCAATTAAGTAAATACTTCTGCTGCATCTTTGAGCACCTTATTTTTTGCTGCAGATACTTTTCTTACGAACACTTTTACGTGATATATTGCAAGTTTTGGGAGCTCGATACTGATCATGATTTTCTGATTGATAAAGAGAACCTCATTCGATATGGCAATCATGCCCTTACGTACAGGATCGTTGATAGAATATTTTCTCAGGTTTGAGTCTTCCATGTACTCAGTCACTTCTCAATTTACTTTCCCTGCAATAATGAATAAACTGTTGTATTTTAAGAATGCTTGCTTATCACGTTATAAAGAGTTTATGTTTTAATTTTCTGTCGTCCCTTCAGTGGTGTCTGATTAGTAGAGAGAAGATAAGCATGTTCAATTGTTTTGTCAGGTTCCGAGGAAGTTTACAAGTAAAGTTGAAGGAAAGATGGGTTATGAAGACTTCGTTTACTTTATATTATCAGAGGAGGATAAAACGTCAGAGCCTGGTCTTGAGTACTGGTAATTTCAGGATTAACATGAAACTCTTTTCAAGTTCCATGAAAATGTTTTACTTTCCTCCTGATTATTCTGTAATAGAGCATATGTATTTTTTTTTTTATGAAGATGATCATTTGTGAATTTTTTTCCTGCTGAGCGGAGATTATGTTAGTAATGTTCTTTCTTTAAGGAGCCACTGATTTCCACCATCCATGCCAATTTTATGACTGCAGCTGGATAATGACTTCCTTCTGTATTGTGCTTTCCTAGTTTATTGAGTAGGAATGGGAGGTGAGATGTTGGTGTAAGTCTTCAAAAGCACTTTTGTTTAGGTTAAGACAAATCGGCTCTCCAATAATTTATAGCATCTGGGATCACCTAAGAGGCTGGTACTTGGAAGTGTATGCTATTATTGTTTGTAAGGTTGATATGCTTGTGCTAACCAGGATATCACGAGTATGAATAAGATTTTCCTTGCAAATTATCTACTTCTAGTTCTAGCCATATATTTGTTGCATTTAGATTATATTTCCTTTTTGTTTTCAGCAATTGTTTTTGTTCTGCGTAAAACAGTTTTTTTGTTTTATCAGAAAAGAAGAAGTTGAAGGGTTGTTTCCCGGACCTTAATCCACTAATCCAAAAACACACACTATTTTGTGGAAAGGTGGGGAAAAATAATAACAAAACAAAACCAATACCGTTTTAGCGCCTTATTTTATTCTTTTTTTAAGAAAAAGACCAAATTAGTTCTATTTAATCCAAGTACCATCTACTCGTGTTGCATTCCTCAGTTCCAAATAAAATTAAATCCAAGTACCAACTAGATAACTCAAGCTCCCTCAAAATTTAGGGAACTGAGAAGTCAACTAATGTGTCGATCTTACACATCAAATATTTTACACCAAAGAAATCCATCAACTATGCATCAGTCCCAAACAAGTTGGGGTCGACCATACCAAAAGAAATCCAAGAATAAACAAAAAATTACAGACGTTGATATTTCAGTTTACAAGCTGATACTGCAGTATCTTCAAAGTATCTCTGATTTCTATGTCCACTGTACCCAGAAAATGCAAGCGGGCCTAGTCATCCAAACTCTTCTGTCTTCTTCCTTATCATCCTTTCTGCTAACCTTGTTAGTTGTTCTTTAGCTTTTCTTGGTATTTGAATGCTAATGAGTCGGAAGTCAAATTGCTGATTTGTTTCATTTTGAAGATTTAGAGTATATCAGGATAATCATGATAGTCAGGGAAGACCATTTAGCTGATTGTTTTGCATTAGGATTGTATGCTTGAATTCTGTTCATTTCAGCCAAGAATTTAGGCAAAATAATAATAGTATAACATGATGAGTCCTCTTCAGAAAATTTCAGTTGTATAGTTGTGGGACATGAACAAGTATTAACTTATAACCACAGCCTTCTCTCTATCTAAATTTATTTTATGGGCAGGTTCAAATGCATAGATTTGGATGGAAATAGTATTCTGACTAGGAATGAGATGCAATTCTTTTATGAGGAGCAGTTGCATAGAATGGAATGCATGGGCCAAGAGCCAGTGCTTTTTGAGGATATTTTGTGCCAGATGGTTGACATGATTAATCCAGAGGTAATCATCAGTTTTTTCACGTTCAATATCTTTATCATGTTGTGTGATTGTGTCCTATGAATGCTTTTTCTACTGTAATGAGAGAACACTTCTAGTTGACCTCTTTTGGTACCTAACTTGGAAGTTTTAAGTTGCATTGTCTGAATGTTTTTTTATGTGAAAGAAGGCGATGTAGTAGTTAAAAGTTAGTGAATTGCATTGTCCCAGTGGTTTGGGCCTTGGGACTTCCATGTTGGAGGTCTCAAGTTCCAAACCCCTGGCCAGTGAAAGCAAGGGGTTTTCCTTCTGGGTCGAAGTGTGGTTTGCGAGCTATTGCATAGGAGTGGGGTTTTACCCTGTGCGCACCCAAAGGGTAGCGGCTGCAAGATTCCCTTGTCATAAAAGAAAAGTTAGTGAACAGCATTTCTTTTTAAGCTCTGGTGGAGGTTAGCAGGCAGATTTTTTGTCTTCTTGATGGTGAATCAGTAAACCAATGTGCTATGTAAATTCTTTAGTCAATGGTCATGCGGAAATAAGAAATACAGCAGATGTGTTTTCTTCCCTAAATATATGATTCCTTTGGGAAAGGAGTAGGCGATTTCTTTACCAACTGAAACAAGTTATGTCATTCTTCAACTCTTTGTTGTTTGAGTAGATGCACAATATATAATGTTTTAATTGTACCATCTGGGTTAATTTTCAGAATGATACATAACACTGAAGCTTCTTTACTTGCAGGATCAAAGTTATTTTGCATTACGCGACTTGAAGGGAAATAAACTATCCAGCAGTGTTTTTAATGTTCTCTTTAACCTTAATAAGTTCATGGCATTTGAAACCCGCGACCCGTTCCTTATACGTCAAGTGAGTTAACGTTTGGTAAATAAGTAAATGAGCTTGATCTACATTGCTTAATCATTCTTATCAATGGTTCATATGATTTTCTTTTTGTTCCAGGAACGCGAGAATCCGAATTTGACCGAGTGGGATCGCTTTGCACACAGGGAATATATTAGACTCTCAATGGAGGAAGATGCAGAGGATGCCTCCAATGGAAGTGCAGATGTCTGGGATGAATCACTTGAGGCGCCTTTTTAAGTTTCAGTTGGCAAGGTGGAAAGGTATGGGCTATCCATTTTATTACATCTCCTTCAACCAGTACATATTGTAGATGGATAGGTCTGTGAAACAGTATTTCTTATCAAGATCTCTCTGGTTTTTAACTCAAATATCCACTCTTTAATATTATGAAGCTTCTAGAAGGCTAGTACTCGACTTAACTTGTATAAACACCTGGGGTGACAAGCCCTTTGGATGATACTAACCATCGCTGAACCATAAAGTATTTTATTAATGTGTAATTTACTTTAATGTCATGATACCGCCTTCTAAATAATAAGATGAGGAAAATACATATTTTGAGCATAAAATATAGAATGCTAGATGGAACTGAATTCATAACAAAAATATTGACTACCCAGGTGAATGCGAATCCCTTTTTATTAAAGCTATTTCGTAGCCAAGTGGTAGGAGATACATTCTGATCTCATTTTCAGTTGCAATACAAGTACATATCTTGGTATGTGTGTGTTTATTTTAGCTTAGCTAATTTGGCCACCTATTATTACGGTGTGGTCTTCTACAATTTTGATCACTTCTATTACACTTATTAAATATGTGAATCTGGAAGGCCCTGGCCATAATGTGGGTATAGCTATACCAGAAGGCTGAACTCCTGTTTTTAAAATCTGTACTAGTTTCCAGCGAAGTGCATGCAGCGAACTTCATCTGAAGCTGAATTTTGAGCTGCAAAAGTGAATTTTGCTCAGAAATGAATGTTGGATAAGCTGCTCTTAGAGATCTCTGTGTTCCACCAAGATGTTATTTTGAGATAGCCACAGAGGAAATTTTGTTTGGTCTACACGGAGCACTCTCTCGAAGTATCTGTCCATGCTAGCTTGAAAACTGCCAACATGAATTATCAAGGGCTTGGCACATGACCAATTGACGATAAATGTACCTTCTGGTAATTCAGAACTTCCACATTTGTTCTCTTTTGCTGTAACAAATCACTGTTATTAATTATTTCTTGTTGTTCCAATTTTCAGCGGTTTCAGATACGTTTCTTTGTCTAGATGAGGTTTAGTGTAGTGAGTGCCAATGTGCCATGTTATCTGCTTTTTGTGTTCTGTGAATCTTTGATAGTTTTGTTCTGGACTGCAGGATATTCTTCTCTATTTCTTTGTCCTCCCACTTGGATGTTGAAGCCATAATTTTGCTGTCAATTGGCACTCTGTTGATTTATTAGTCACAACTGATAAACTTGTTCTAGTATCAGCATTCATTATCCCTTGAATTTGGTTGAGCAATTATAAATTGAGTTAATTTACATTGTCAGTCTCAAGTTCTGATTAAGATGAAAGTTTTGGGTTTTGTAAAATTAGTTTTTAGGTCTAATTCATACCTCAAAAAATGGGAAGTTTTGGGTTTTGTGAAATTAGTCTTAGGCTTAACTCACATCTCAAAAGTTAGCTCAAAGGGAGAAGGATTGCTCAAGCCTTATAAGGAGTCCACTCATCTCATTAACCATCTATATACGACTTTTGTCACTCTTTAATACCTCCATTAATGTGAGACATCTGGTGTTTGGGCAATTTAAGCAATTTTGATTTTGGGGTTGGTTCCCAACATCGGGTGGAATGGGCCTTGCTCTGATATCATGTGAAATTAGATCTTACGTCTAATTTAGGTCTCAAAGAGAGGGGGATCACGCAAGTCTTATTAGGAGTCCACTCATTTCATTAATCATCGATGTAAGATTTTGTCATTATTTAACAGGTTTAGGTTTAACCTTGAACTTAAAGATTAAAATTGTCGTAATATGATAAAACACTTACAAACATTGAATGAAATAATAAACCATATATGGGTCCATAGGATAAAATATACGTAGGTCTTCCTCTATGATAGAGTAGCTCTTTTCGATAATCCCTTAGCTCAAAAGATAGATGAATTTTAGAGGGTTCGCTTCACCAACAAATAAAGTTTCCTAAAATGCTAGTAAACTTATTATCGAAGCTTAGCTAATAAAATCATCTATTAATGCCAACGAACTCAACATCCCCTAACGAATTTTAGAGGGTTTGGTTGACACTAAATATCATATATTGTAACATTTTCAAATGACTATTTTATTCTTCTGAATTTTTTTTTTTTAAAAATAATAATTATAAGATATTTTAGATCATATTTAAAGTTGTGTTGTTACGGTTTGTACTTTGAAAGAGCCGATTAAAAAAGCTTCCAAACACTGTCCATTAAGAACATTTTCACATGCTAGAGGGGACCAATCATACCTAGGCAGCATTGCATGTGCTTCTCTGTGCATGTCCTATTTTTGTAACTCTCTATTTGTCAATCAAAATTTTTACTAAAATATAATTTAAATTATATATATATATATATATATATATATATATTTGATCATATAAATAAAGTATTATCTTTAAAAAAAAAGAAAAAAGTGTTCAACTGATCGATCACCTTTGAACGATTAGAAATGGACTCTTTAAGTTTTACGTTTATAAATTCTTGATTCTTGGATAGAATGAAGATTGAGTTTCGATTACTGTTGTGTGTGAGTGTGATTTGTTTCTGTACACAAGATTTTGTGTAAGCATTGTCAATTTTAAGGTTTATACATACATCAAAAGAAAACTTTCGAGAGTACTTATTTTATGTACATATAAATCAAATTCTTTTAACGAGATTGTACCGGATAACACTATATTTGATTCAATGTATCTTCGCCTCTTAGTGTGTGTGAGAGAGATGGAAGGGAAACACCATTATTTTTGCATAGTAAAGGCTTACCTACTCATTTCGATGTTTACACCATACAAATGAATGAAAAATTGTGTTATGCATACAAGAGTTTGTCCCTTCACTATGATTAAGTGATACGTATTCTTACTAAATAAACATCGAGTGCAAGTAAATATTTACGTGTCGTGGAAAAGCAAAAGTGGGCCAGGAAAGAGAAGTGAGCTGACAGACATATGGGCCTCTAAATAAGCCCATGAGGTCTCACAAAATCCAGAACAAAATGTACCAGACATTAGCTTTTTTTGTGGGGTAAAAAGGCCCACAAATATAATACAAACTAACCTTTGAGAACCAACTTGATTGGTTCTTCAACCAAAAAGTTATCAATTTTGTCCCAACTATGTCACGTGTGAAACACACACGTGCACAAATTATTTATACATCGAAAAACATTGAAATAAATTCATAATTTCATGAGCCGATACTCTATAAAAAAATAAATTCTGAGAAGGGTGTAAAATGCCTCTTAACTATTCGATATGGTACAAAACTACGCTCTATCCACCTTTGGTGTCACAAATACATTTGTTGTTAACACAGTCTATTTTTGAGCCAAAAGATAGACGTTAGGGGTATTTTAGGGGTGAAAGATGGATGAAGAGTAATTTTGTACCAGTTCAAATACTTAAAGGACATTTTAAATACTTCTCCGAAATAAATTTTCTATCAGAATATTCTCTTCAAACATTACTTACTATTTTTGAGCCAAAAGATGGACGTCGGGGGTATTTTAGGAGCGAAAGATGGATGGAGAGTAATTTTGACCAATTCAAATACTTAAGGGACATTTTAAACACTTCTTCGAAATAAATTTTCTACCACAATATTCTCTTCAAACATTACTTTATTGAGTTAAATTGAATATATTATCGCATAACACCTTGAAAAGAAAGATACAAATTTGATCATAGTAGTGAAAAGATATATCTTATATTTAAGAATAATTTAGTTTTAAACTTCTTTATTTACCATATAGATATAGTCAAAATTGAACCTAGCTAACTCCACAGTGTTAACCCTATAGAGCAATAGAGGAGAAGATAACAAATAGAGAAATATTTTTACTCTAGGGTTTTCGATGTTTATATCTTTAACGTTTTAAATATTATATCTAATTATTTTCTTAATAAAAAAATTCAAATCTAACATTAAATACAACATTATCTTTTTATTGAAAACATTTAAATATTCATTTGGAATTTGCCAAATACACAACTTTAATGACTAGATTCATGTGAGAGCTTAGTTGGCTCATTAAGGTTTACTTATTTAATTAATGCCTCACCTAATTTATTTATTAAATAATAATTTTTTTTTTCCAAATAACAAAATGGAGAAACATTGACATTATTGGAATTAGTTAGTCTTAAATAATTCCTTTAAAAAGCATCCAATGACTTAATCAATAGATTCAGTACTCAAGTTAGGCAAAAAAGGAATTTTTTATATTCATTAAAGATGAAATAAAATTCAATTTTTGACCATAAACAATGGCTATGATAAATGAAATTGTTCTCATTATCCATATAAAAGTAATCTTAATTAGAATAAGAATTTGAGTTTAAATGTTCAAGTTTTAAAAATGGAAAAATCATAATAACAAGTGTTTACTTTTTAATGAGCTTTACAAAACTCTCTAATTAACACAAGATTTTTTTAAAAATTTTTATCAGACCTAATAAAGATAAGATTACTTTTCGTTTTTTAGAAATTCATTAGGTTTAATTCATGACCAATTAAAAGAAGAAAATATACCAAATTTAAGATGGAACTAACATACTCCCTCCGTCCAGAATTGTTTGTCATGTTGCGCTTATCAAAAGTTAATTTGACTAATTTTTAAAAGTAAATTAGATTACATTAATTCGATATTTTAAACAAAAAAACTAGATATTCTAAAATTATATGAAAAGTAATATAAATTACAATTTCTTTTGCATATTAATATGATGAAAAAACACATCTTAAAATGTTAGTCAAAATTTTTATAGTTTGACTCTAAAAATAGAAACCATGACAAATAATACCGAACAGAGAAAATATTTATTACGAATTGACAAAAATTTAATAGTTTAGTATAAACTCATTAATTATATGATTTAAATATGTATTTAATTTAATCAATAAACACACATTATATATCGGCTATTGAAATTTATTCTTCCGAAAATACCCTCGTAGAGTCATTAGCACGCTGGGTCCAGCAAAAAGTAATCCACGCGCTTTACAGTGAAATTAGCAAAAAGGCAATTCCGTAATTTAGTGCAAAATCGAGGGGCAAATAGTTAAATTTAGGTACAGAAACAGCAAAACTACAGTACACAAAAAAGCCAGTAAGGTATAGCAGCAAACCAGAAAATTGCAGAAATCTATACATACATATCAATTCTAGAGAGAGAAAGTAAAACCCATTTGCTATTTGAGGCAGAAATTGTAGAAATTTTTTTAGTACTTTCTCTCTCTATAACGAAAAAAAAATCCCTTTTTTACCCCCCCTTCGAGAAATCTTGGAAATCCGTCGGCACAAACCCCCTTTTTTGCTGTAATCGATTTTTTCAGGTAAAGTTTTGGTTTTTATTTGTGGGTTTTGTGTGTATTTTGTTTTTATAAGATGTATGTATGATTTGGGTTTTGCTGTAATGGTTTTTATTGGGTTTTGTATGTGTTTATATGATTTAGGTATTTATTTGTTGAATTATGTTGCTAAGATTGAAGCAGTAAAGTGGAGTTAGATCGATGAGTGTATAATGTCCCTTTGTTAATTGAGTTTTTGAAATAGAATCTGTGCTTAGAAACTGCATAAAAAGTGTACTATAATTGTTATGTTTTTTTTTAGATTTGAGAAAAATCATGGTTAAAGAGGAATTAGATGTGTGTTTGGAATAGTTATAATCTTATTTTTTGTGGAGTGGACTGTTTTTCTCGAGTTGAGTGTTATCGGAAACAATCTCTCTGCCCTTGAGGTAGGGGTAAGGTATGCTGCATACACTCTACCCTCCTTGGACCCCACTTCGTAGGAGTATACTGGGTATGTTGTTGTTTTTCTTGGGGAGGGAGATGAATTTACTTTTTTTCCTTTTTCAGATTTGAGCTTAGTGATACTGGAGTTCAGGGCATAATGGTGTTTGTGTTTTAGAAAATTTTGCAATGCTGTAATTGGTGAAGTACGTGGGAGCTCAAGCCGACATCTATAGTGAAAATCCAAGAAAAAATCAATTCTTTGATCTTGGGTAATCCTAAAGTTCCAATTCTGAGCAAGATTTAAGAAGATAACTGATTTAATTGAAGGTCGGTGACAGAGTCATATATGATTTGAGGTTATAGATGGGTGAATTCTAGCTTATTCCAAGTACTTTTGTAAGGAAGAGGGTAGAGTTAAAGAGAAACCAATGGAAGATTGGTCCAAGTACGTTCACAGTCCAGCTCATTTGGCTGTGGCTAAGCGAGACTAT